CTGGTGGATTTTCAGATTCAGGGGCTGAATGATCTGATCCAGGTCCCAGGTTCTTTCCATCCCTCCACTCTGCTCTCCACTTTGTCAGCCTTACCCTAACTTGGTGACTCCAGTGTGCTTAGGATAGGCCATGTGCTTGCTTGTTCTCTTCCAGTAGGAAAGCAAGAGCTGACTTCTTAGAGGAAAGCTCTTAGAAGCCTTCAGCACACATCTCAGAGCTCACTGGCTAGCACTGGATCACTTGCTCATTTCTAAATTAATCATCGTGGGATGATTAATTTTGCGGGAAGATGGGTGTACTCTAGTTGGTTAAGACAGATCATGTCCCACCCAGAGCTGCTGCCGATCAGCTACCCCTGAGATTGCATGGGAGAAAAATCATGGCTGATTTCAGGGGCAACCTGAGAGGTACTGGGCTCTGTGGGGAAGGAAGAAAGGGGGATTGATATTTGGCAAGGCCACCAACACTGTTCGCCATAGGGGAAAACAAGGGCACATGGGTAGAAGCAGAGTTGACTCATGAAGAAGAGCTTCCAGCTTTTGATCACAGGAGAAAGTGCGGATCCGATTGTCCCAGTGATTGTGTGGTTAGAGAGGGCTTGGGAAGAAAGCTGGGGCACCAGAGCAGGCTTCAGATGAGCAATAGAGGAAGAGCTTGAGAGCCTTGTCCTAGCTCTTTGCTTTATCTCCATGGTCCTGAAGCTTCAGATCCCTTACATGGGATATGACCCCAGGCATTGCCAGTGCTTCTCCAGAGCACATCACAAAATAGCAACACCTTTGCCTGGGGCTTTAATTTGTACAGAGTCTTTCCTTTTAGCTTTCAAATTCTGGTTCCCATTAAAGCATACAGACACACACACAAGAGAGGCATCATGGTCATTTTATTGATGCATGCACCTGAGAGGTTGGTTGCCTTGCCCGAGATCACACAGATAGGTTAATGGGAGGGCTGAGATGGATCTCCTCTCCTCTAGCCCAGAACACTCCTCTGGAAACACAAAGCTGCGGGACTGAGGTGTCCTTACCTGGACAGACACACGATGGAGACAGCATGGATGTGGGCAGGGAGGGCCAGACACCTGGGGTGTGGTCCTCACACTGGGTACCATAGAAGGCCTGAGTAACAGCAATTCTGAGGACTCTGAGTGTAAGTGGATCTTCTCTCCTGTCTGGGCTTCACTTCTTTCATCCACCTCCACACCTCTGGCCCATAAACAGGAGATGGCTAAGATGGCATCTTAAGGATAGATGCTTTATGGCTAAGATGCTGTCGGGCCAGGATGAAATGTGTAGACAGTTCCTCCAGCTTCTCCCTCTGGAGCAGATACTCCAGGCTCATCTGAGCCAGGTGGGGGCCCATGTGGCTGCTTCTTTCCATTGGTTCCTGAAGCCTGTAAACTCGCTGGGCAGGAATGGGAAGGTAGGGAGGTGACCTGAGGTTAAGGCCACATCTTGGCCACATACACAGCTTCTGTATGCCTGCTGTGTGTCTTCCCTAAGCCAATTTCAGCTTGCAAGAATGTGAAAAGACCAGCAAAATGTGAAGGGAGAGCCTGAAAGGAATTCTCTGAAAAGACCACTTTATCTCAGTGGTTTCTAAGACCACAGCACACTGTGTCCCTTCTCTGTGCTGGGCCTGGTGGAAGCCACGCAGGGCACTTTATCTGGGTGGTCCTCACCGGCAGGGTTGTGACACATCAGTATGTTTCGATCAGCCCTGGGGGGTGCTGCTAGAAATTCAGTAGAACCTCTCTTCGTGTCACAATCAGTAGCACAGTGCCTAATCTTCATAGATATTCCAAAAGTAAGTAGCCCACAGATTAAATGAGTGATTAACCCCATTTTACAGATGAGTAAATCAAGGCATGTGATTCCCTAGTTGATAGATCAAGGCTGTATGTGGGTTATGGCAGAGCTGGGGCGGGAACTAGGTCTTCTGCCTCCTAGGCTGGTCTGGGGTGGGACTAGACAATCTCTACTACTCCCTGTGCTCTTTTATAGCTGGACACATGGATTCTGGATTAGCAAATTAGTATGTGGGGCAGTGCTATATTCTGTAGCTGCATGTCTTATATAGTAGCCACTAGCCACACGTGGCTGTGGAATATGTGCAATGTGGCTAGGATGACTGAGGAGCTGAGTTTTTCATCCTGGTGGCTAGCGGCCACCATGTCGGATAGCACGTCTCTAGCATTTCCCCTTCCCCAAGGCCCAGCACCACAACCACGCCCAATCTTGATGCAGTGGAAGTTTGTGGTTAGTGATGACACTTAGAGAAACTTTCCTAGATCCTTGGCAAAACACCTCAGGTCCCCCAGATACACCAGTTATTCTTTAGTAGCTGGGCTTCTTTCAACAGAAGGGAGATGAAAACAAAATTGGAAGAGTTGAAGCAGAAAGACTATTGATTTTTAATCCTTTTTTCTCATCCAAGAATTTCAAGGTGTATTCCTCATGTCATTCCATTCCTCTCCTGGGAGCTGGGAGAACTGGCCTGTGAGGCCTGGACAGCAGCAAGTGATGTGAATTAAAACACACTTTTAAAAAAAAACCTCTCTAGTCAACGTTATTTTTTCTCGGTGAAATGTTAGGATCTTTACTAATAACTATTATTTTCCTTTGGGTTGTTGCCTGGAGAGGATTTTTTTTAAATAAATTAAACCATGAATCCATTAACCAGTGATTTAATTTCCAAGTCCTTATTCTTCTAAATTATTTTCTCATCATGGAATAAAACCATGGCACATTTGAGCTGGAAAACAGTTTAGGCAGCCTCTAGTCTGTAAAATTGATGGGATGAATCAGTTACTACTTATCCAAGCTTGTGCAACCATTGGACTCTGTTCTCTACACCATAATGGTATAGGATGTGTAAAATCCCCCCCCCCATTTTGCATTTGGGTAAGTAGCTGTGCTAGCATTTTTATCAAGATATATCTGGCTCTGAGGCTGGGACCCTTCCTATGTACCTTAAGCTTTTAATCATTTCATGGACAAGGGAGTGGAGACCCAGAGAGCTATAAGAACTTCAGCAGTCAGGGCCTGACCTCTTGTCTTTATGCTCCATTCAATTCTATTCCTTGACCTCAGATTTATAGTCCCACACTCAGCTTGCACATTTCACCCTATTTTCCTCTTTAGCAGTACCCTTTTCCCATTTAAAAAAAGTCAAAATACCTTCATTTGCCATTCAGTCCCCTTCCACAGTTTGGTACCAACCTGTGCACCATCACCCCATCCCCACTCAGTCAAGGGAGGTGGCCGAGCAAAGCCCAACGTTTGCATTCCTTCTACACTCTCAGCATTGAGCTGTTTTCCTTTCTATGATTAAAAAACAAATTATATTCCTGTATACTTACAGATATCTTTTGGCATTAAACACAAAGATGCTCATTACAGTGTTATAATAGAAAGTAAAAACAATGTACATGGTCAACCATAACAGAAATGTTAAGAAAAAAGTATTTCAATTCTTTTGATTAGTCTAAAGCCACTAAAATGGAAGTAGGAGCATTTGGCCCTCACAACGGAAATAGCTAAACGAGGGGTAGGTGCCGTCTCATGGGGCATCCTGGGCTTAGACAGCATTGAGCAAAACCAGACATGGCAGAATTGGACCCGTTTGTGGTAATAACAACCAAAAACAGTGATAATGCAGCTTAATCCAGCTTTGCATTCATTTCTAAGTTAAGGTTTCCAGCACTTGCCAACTCCAAGTTGAAGCAGTCCCTGAGGGCACCTGAGAGAATAAAACCCATGATGGACTTAGAGTCAGAAACATTAGTTCAAGGCCCAGCTGGGTCACTGACACTTCAGGGTGCGCATCTGTAAAATGGGTAGGATTCTGTCTACTGTAGGAGCTATGCTGAGCACAAGTGGTACCTACTGTAGGAGCTATGCTGAGTACAAGTGGTACCTGGTAGCCCTCCCAGTAGAGTATCACCCTGCTGCTCCATCGGCGAGGAAGCAACACCATTCAGGGCTTTCCCCAAGCAGAGGGAGAGTAAAGGTGTCTTCTCTGTGGCACCGGCTGAAGAGGGGGCCAGCCACTGCTGTTTGACTTGCTGGCCCACCAGGCTCTTCCTTAACCTGAGTCAAGCTGACTTGCAGGAGTCTGTCCACACCGTGGCAGCTGTGGAGAGGCAGGGACCTGCCATGGCTCCCCCTGTAGTCCTGCTGTATTTGTGGATTCTGCTGAACCAGAATATTAGAACTGCCTCACAGCAGTGATGGTAACAGCCACACATGCCTTCAGGGCTTCTCATGCTTTTGCAACCATTTAAAGCACCATTTCCAGACTGTGGTCAATGAACAAGGCAATTACTACTATGTATTTCCATAGAAGATTATTGTCACCAAATGTTCGTACAAATTGTTTGGTTCAGCTGGGTATGCTAGTGGAAACCACTGTGGAATGATTCCAGCTCTGCACCGTGATGCTCAAGCACTCAACCTGAAATCTGTCCTCCCCAGCCACACAGGTTGGGAACTGCCTCCTTATCTGATTTGCTTTTTTAAATTAAACGCCTAACTCAGAATCATGTGAGATGGCCAAGAACAGTGACTTTCAAAATTTCTAAGCAGCAGAACATTTTTTCCCCAAATGAAATCTCATCTGGAACGTATGTGTTTATTTTATAATTTCTGGTTACTAATACTCATTTTTATAAAGTCAATCAGTGGGGGTTTGCTTTGATTAACCAATAAGATTAAATCAGGAACCTTGATGACAGTTGCATTTTTATATCAGCTTTAGCATCTGATTTAGATCTGTATTTTATTTTGGTTGTATTTTATTAATAATGCATAATAGCTAACACTTCAGCACTGCTCTGAGTGGTTCAAACCTTTTAACTCATTTAAGCTTCAGAACTGTAATAGATTATATCATTATTCCCAGACGAGGAAATGGAGACCTGGAGACCCAGGGACCTGGTTAAATGGCCCAAGATCACACAGCTCGTGAGTGGCCAGAGCTGGGGTTCAAATCTGGGTAGCCTAAGCCACTATGGAGGAGAGTATGAAGGTTCCTTAGAAAACTAATAATACATTTACCATGTGATCCAGCAATCCCACTCCCGGGCATTTATCTGGAGGGAACTCTAATTCGAAAAGACACATGCACCCTAGTGTTCACAGCAGCACTATTTACAATAGCCAAGACATGAAAACAACCCAAATGTCTAGCAACAGATGACTGGATAAAGTTGTGGTGCATTTATACAATGCAATACTACTCAGCCATAAAAAAAGAATAAAATAATGCCATTTGCAGCAACATGGATGGACCCGGAGATCATCATTCTAAGTGAAGGAAGCCAGAAAGAGAAAGAAAAATACTATATCATATTGTTTATATATGGAATCTTTAAAAAAGGACACAGATGAACTTATCTACAAAATAGAAACAGACTCACAGATGTAGAGAACAAATGTACGGTTACCAGGGGGTAAAGGGGGTGGAAAGGGATAAATTGGAAATAGAAATTTGTACCTCTTGGGGAGTTATGGAAATGTTAGCTATCTTGATTGTGGTGATGGTTTCATTGGTATATACATTTATCAAAATTCATCAAATTGTACATCTATAATGTGTATGGTTTACTCTGCAGGAATCATACTACAATAAAAGTGTTTTAAAAAAAACCCAGGCATCCTACCTCCATCATCCAGGATTAGAATAAGTGTTTTATTTTGCTGCTCCCAATGAAATGCCTCAGATATATAAATACATATTTGTAAAGAATAACTTTTTAATTGCCTGCCCTGCAAACTTAGGCTATTTTTAAATCAAACTCAGAGAGCAGAGAAGTCCTGTTCCATATTCTAAGAAAAATAAATAAATAAATAACCTAACCCCTGAAGCACCCCCATTAGGATTCAGGGAACAGTTTGAAATTCCTGACCTAGAGCACCGGGGACATGCTGAAGAATCAATCGGTCTGTCAAAACGCACGTGCTGAGGACCCCCAGGGTATAGTAGAGACAAAGACATTGGCTGGTATTTCACCAAATGAAATCTCTAGTCTCTGGCACAACCAATATTCCCCATTACAAATCTTCCAGCTGGTAAACAGAATGATGCCACCGACATTTAATTGAAATGTCAGCACATTTAGAAAGAGCCCTGATGAAACTGCCAAGTTAAAGTTATCGCTGATGACTTAAGCTAAATGGAAACAGAAAATCACCACTAACACCCACTAACCCCCACCACCCACACACATGCACATACACACACTATAATATCAGACGGAAAGAAAGCAGAGAGCTTCAGCTGTCCAAGAGAAATTTGCAGATAGTTTTTAAATCGAGTTTTATTTTAGCTATGAAAAACTATGGGGCAAATGGAAAAACTTGTGGAAGTAATCAGGACTGAGACAGGCCAATGGCCGTGTAAATCAATTCAGCAAGCACACACTGATTAAATTGCGTTTGGATAGTAATATTACCTTACATTTATTTGCATAGCTTACAGTTTATAGAGGCCATGGTGGATGGCAAAAAAAAAAAAAAAGTCCTCAATTCTTCACCACTCCCAGCGTCCTCATCTTATGCCTTTGTAACTTTGCACACTGGGCTTAACCGTGTGATTTGCTTGGGCTGATGGGTTGTTAGAAGGTGTGACATAAGCAGAGGCTTGCATGTTTCCTTTCATCCTTGCCCTATGCCATCACCTTTAGAAGAACATGCCCTTGGAACAGAGTCAAGGCATCCCAGTTGTCCCAAGGCCATCCTAGATCAGTAACAGCTAGCCAACTCCCAGGATTAGGAATGAGCCCAGCCCATTCATAGAAGAGCCATTCAGCTGTGACCTGCAGCTGACCACAGTCACAGAAGCAAGCACAGCCAGGAGCAGCCATGCCCAGATCTACTGGACCCCACAGACTCATAAGCTAATGCAGTGTTTACTGTTGTATGTCGCTGTGGTTTTGAGGGTTTTGTTAAGCATCACTCATGTGGCAACTGACACCGGACAGACAGACTTGCCTTGTGTGACCTCCTGTGTCCCCTCCTTGTGGACAGGGGTTACATCCCCCATGTTATAGATGAGAACACTGTGATTCATGGAAGTGAAATGGATTGTGTATTCCACAGCTGCTTCTCCCAATGCCTCATTCTCTGTTCATGCTTAAGTCATGCAGCCTCTCTGACATACTTAGCATTAACCTAGAGGCTGAATCCATTTTTTCTTTTAGATCAAAGAGGCAGTTTTTATAGGTTGAAAGCACAGAGGGAGAGCAGATATATCAGAAATTCCTGGACCTGAAATACAGAAACTGCACAAGCATTTGGCTTGGTGCCCCTTACCCTCACCCTGGGGTACCCCTCCTTTCCTGATTTCCACTGTGCTGTGAGGGGATATGTGATTCAGTCCATGTCAGATGTATGTTTCTCTTGCCATCTCTCTGTGGCTGATTTCACTCACAGGCATTCTTCAAATGCTTCACAGAAATCCCTGCCAGGTAGGAAAACCCCTGGGGAGTCATGAAGAAATGATCAAAAATAATTTTTTTGACCTTGAAATGCTCAACTGAAAAATCTACTCTAGCTCCCAATTTCCCCCATCTAAAGGCCAGACTCATGGAGAATTCTATATAGTCCAGACCAACCTACAATTTGAGAATCACCACAGCCTCCCACCCACCCCATCTCACCCGTAAATGTTTCTCTACTTCAGAATCAGAAATGTCTTGCTCTTTCTGGATAAGTGGCCCAAGACCACACTGCTAGGGAATGGCAGAACTGGGGTTCAAAGCCAGGCAGACTAGCTCCATAGTCCATTATCTATGACTCCAAAAGCATTTTGAACTTTTGCCTCTGCTCATACTCCTCCATCTGTTCAGAAGTCTCATCTCTCTTTTACTTTCAGCTGATGAACCACTGTTCTTTTCTATATGATCACACTCCTTTCTTAAAAAACACTTTAAAGACCCACTCTCTTTATTGTTTGTTCATGCATTTGCTTTGTCTTCCTGAGGCTGGGAAGCATCTGAAGACCTTTTTGGCAAAACTTCACGGCAGCCTGATGCATGAAGAACCCTTAGAAATCATGGGGAAATGATTTACTTTGTTCAGTAAGCAGACTTTGTTCCACTTTGGGATGTTCCAAGTTAGGGGTGAAACATGATGGGTCCCAAGGAGGTAGCCTTTACATGAGGGAGGGACAAGATTTCTCTCTTTTAGAAACAGGTAAGTCTAAATAGATCTATTTACATGAAGTGAGTCATAAACACCAGCTCAGTGAGAGCCTTCTCTGGCACTCACAGTGAGATGAATCCCAGATTCCTCTAGCCTATGAAGGTACTGGTCATGTCGGTTTTTTTAAGTGCCTCTCTTTACCGATCTTGACCTACTCCCCAACTTGCTGTGAGCTTAGCAAAGGCAGATCCCCTGTTTTGTTCATCTTTGTATCTCCATATTTCTCCTCCAACTTCCTTGTCTCCAACTCCAGGAACCTACTATAATGCCCTACATGTATTAGAAGCTCAACAATTTTTTGCTGAATAGTGAGAACCCAAACAAGCCATTGGGCATCAGACTCCCAAGGCCTCCTCTGAGAAGTAAAGGCACCTCCTCAGAGCCTTTGGTGAACTCTCCTAAAAAGCTGAGAGTGCAATAGAAATAGTGCATGCTCTAGAGTCAGATACTAGAAATGTCACTTAATCTCATCAGTCCTTCGTTTCCTAATCTGCAAAATGGAGATCGTGTATGGTACCATCTTAATACTATCATTCAAAAAAAAAAAGAGCTCATTTTTGCAGAACCTATGACAAACGGGGGAGGGGCTAGGAGGAGAGTGGTGGGCATGTATATTTTGAAGATCTTTCCCCACAGGATTCTAATATACTGATCCACCCCCAACATGAGAATCTTTAGTCTAGGTCTGAAGAAAAGCGAACTGGGTTGGAATGAAGGAGTACCTGGCATTCTGGGAGAACTCAGAAGCTCTAGACAGTGAATAAAGGAGTGCCGTTGACTCCAAGAAGAAGAATGAAGACAGAACACATGCAGAGGGCAGAATAGGGACAAAGGACAGTCACAGCTGGATGTCTTCTTTATTATCAGTATAGAGCAAGGATAAATATGGGAAAAGGCCATTAGGTTATCATCTTGGACTTCTTATTGTTGACCCTGTGTTTTGAGGGGATTCCATGGTCCAAATTCGTGGAGAGTATCAGGAGGCTATGAGGGCATGCTCAGGGCCATGACCAGGGCAGAAGTAGGGGTAGGAAGAAGCTCTGAAGATGCTTTTATTCACACAAGCCTTGTAGGAAAAAGAAAATCTAAGATGGAGAAATGGGTGGTGGCCATGGAGCAGGACACCAGAAAACCTGTCACCCAGTCTGCAGGTGAAAAGGCAAGCAGGGTCTCTAACAGCCAAAAGAAAGCCCCAGAGAGGATGTCCCAGCAGAACTTTTGGGACATACTCAATCCCCTGGGCTCTGTTGTTGATTTAGTCAAGGTCTTCATCGTGTCTTTCCTGGACTGTTGCAGGAGCCTCCCAACTAGTCTCTGTACCTTTCATTTCTGCTTCCTTTTAGGTATCTTCCCCACTACCACCACCAAAGTGATCTTTTCTCCTCTGTGTTTATATGTACAGTAAAAGTATAACCATATATCGATTTATGTATTTAGTATATGTATATATACACCTATATTGTTTTTTATAATTATTTTATTAAAAGGGGACTGACTGCACTACACATACACTTCTGTATCTTTTTTTCTCATCCAGTAAAACCCATGGAATTTCTTCTGAGTCTTCTGGTAGTTCTCCAATTCCTAGTTTTTTTGTGAGTGGTTACATAATATTCCACAGTGTAGATGCACCAGTGTATTCAATTTGGGGCCACTATAAATATCAGTAACAATTCAGCAAATACACACACACACGCACACACACACACACACACACACATATGTGTATGTTTCCATCTGTGTCTGTGTCCTTAGAAACTACTCATTTTATTTATATAGGCTGGACTCATAGAAGTAAGATTGCTAGGTCAAAGGACATATGTACTTTGCATACTAATGATTGTTGCTTGCTGGCTTCCAAAATAGCTGTAACTATATCACTATCCCAATCAGCAATATAAGAGGACGCTCTTTATTCCCCACATCCCTGC